TGGTATGAATAAGAATGACCCCAATAGACTCATATACTTGAATCCTTGGTGGAACTGTTTGGGAAGGATTAGGAGGTGAGGCCTTATTGAAGGAGGTGTGTCACTGAGGATGGGCCTTGAGGCTTTAAAAGACCATGCTATTCCCAGTTATCTCTCCCTCTCCCCTCCCCCTTCCCCTTCCCTGCCCCCTTCTCTCCCATCCCCCCTCCCCTCCCTCTCCCCCCCCCTCCTCCTCTTTGTGGGTCAGATTCTTCCCCTCAGACCATGCTACATACAGTGCCATGCTTGCCTGTCTGCTACCATGCTCCCCAAAACTTTGGAGCTGTAAGTTGTCTTGGTTGTGGTGTCTCTTCACATCAATAAAAAGGTAACTAAGACACCAGGCTAACCTGAGACTATGCAAAATTAGTCTCATTAAAATGTCCTATAGAAAGAATGCTTTAATAAAATATCTCTTATCCAGAAATTTGAAAATCTGGAAATGAAGGTTTTCATTTCTTCTGCGCCTAGAGACAGAATTGTGGGAATGAAGGGTGATGAGGTCCTCAGGGAAGGGGTGATTATTAAAGAAGTGTGTATAGTGTCGGGGACCGAGGCACAGCTGCATGTTGTCACCCATCCCAGCCTGAGGACTTCCCTTTATCTTTGAGGAACCTCACCCTCGTAAAACTGGATCCTTGGCTTTACCACAGGGAAGAATTTCAAGATGCACCTGAACAGGAGTTGGCGTTGGTGAAAAGGCATCTGAACTTAGATTTTAAGCACCAAATTTAGGAGGAGCCGTGCTGGAGAGGAAATGAGCATGAGAGGTTCTCAGCATGCTTCTCTGAGAACCGCCCTTCATTGTCTGTAAGACAGTTACAGATAAGATTTTGACTTGTTTTGGAAGGCATTATCTTGAAATGATTGTAAAGAAGTTAACTTGTTAAAGAAGTTACATGCATTTATTTTTCGTGTGTAGGGAGGCACTCATGCCGAGGCATACATGGAAGTCAGGACAACTCCAAGGGAATTGGGTCTCTCCTACATCGTGGGTTCAGGGCATTGAACTCACACTGTCAGGCTTGGTGGCAAGCACCCTTACCTACCTAGCCATCTCAGGCCCTTGCTAAAGAGGGTACTCAATGACACCACAGGAGGTTCCTGAGGTGCTCCTGACAGCAGGGTTATAATTGATAGGGTAGCTGACAAATCACCAAGATACAGGGAGTTAGGGTATCTTTATTGTCAATTAAGTTATGGGTTTGAGAGACAGGATTCAAGTTCAAATGTCAATACCCACTGGAGACAGGTCATAACCCCAGCTCCAGGGCAGATTCAACACCTCAGGCCTCTGAGGGCACCTGAACTCATGGGCACACACACACACACACACACACACCCCAAAAAAAAAAAAAAAAAAAAAACAAACAAACAAAAAAAACAAAAAACAAAAAACCAACAACAACAAAAACCCCATATTTTTAATAAACAAAACCAACCAACCAATCAGCAACAACAACAAAACCCCACAGAGTTAACAGTATTATTTGTGAGATTCCCAGCAAATGTCTGGAAGAGGAATAAGGCCTTACCCAAGGTCACATACATTCAGGCCATAAGCCTGGCTCACTGCTATTTTAACATAAAATATCTTATGTGTAAGAACTATTATATACATAATTTTAAAAAGAATTACCTGCAGTTGGCAACCTTTCTAGTAAAAATTCCAAGTATTGGAATTCTTGTTTCAATCAGAATCTGAAGAGGCCCCTTTTTCTTTGTATGGCCCCATAATTCTCCCTAACTGCCTGGCCTTTTTCAGAAGAAGGGTATGCCACCAGGCATATCCTTCAGTGTATCTGGGATAAAATGTTCCTCAAGATTCAGACTCCCTGTACCCTGCAAACACCCACACCAGGTTTTGCAAGGACCTCACTCTGGGTAAGGATGTGTCCTGGACTGGGTCACAAGCTGTCCTGGTTTGTTTTATAGTGCTGTGCTAAGTAAGCACCATGACCAAAAAGTCTATATTCCATTGAGGGAGGCCAAGGCAAGAACCCATGGAACCTGGAGACAGGAGCTGAAGCAGTGACCATAGAGGAATACTGCTGAGCGGCTTGCTCCTCGTGTCTCCTTCATTCTGCTTTCTTTATTTGCTTGCATTTTGTTGTTGTTATTTATTATTATTATTATTATTATTATTATTATTATTATTATTATTGTGAGATAGGATTTCTCTGTGTAGCCCTGGCTGTCCTAAAACTCGCTCTGTAGACCAGGCTGGCCTTGAACTCACAGAGATCTGCCTGCCTCTGCCTCCCAAGTGCTGGGACTGAAAACATGCACCACTACCTAACTTCAGTGGGCTTTCTTATAGCACCCAGGACCACCTGTCCAGAAGTGACTCTGCCCAGAGAGGGCTAAGCCCCTCCTCACAGCAATCATTAATGAGATAAAGCCCTACAGACATACCCACTGGCCAATCTGATGGAGGCAATTTCTAAACTGAGGGTCCCTTTTCTTAGGTGACTCTGGTTTGTGTCCAACCGACCAACGCTATCCAGTGGCACATTCCTTCTGCCAAGACAGGAAGCTTTTCCAGCCTAAGGCAACCGCTACTATGAGTCTAATTAATGTCAGTTTCGTTGTTCATCACTGAACGAAAAGATAGACAAATAAATAAGATAAATAAGGTAGCCTATTACCTGGGGTGCAGAGAATAGAAGATAAATTCCTTAGCTGACTGCAATGGCTCACACTTGTAATCCTAGTACCTAGGAGACCAGGCAAGCCAGGATGGCTGCTAAAGGTTTGAGGGCATTCTGAGTTTCACTGTGCTGCCCTGAAGGGGAGGAGATGATAAACATGCTGGCTACAGTGAATTCAGATAGAAAAGAACAGCATAGCCTCTCAGTTTGTGGAGACTGGTGCCTTCAAACAACTGAAGGGATTGAATGTCTTAGTCAGTAAGTAATAATCGCTGCTTCATTAGGAAGTAGATTTCTTGGTATCTGGGGCACATTTTTTTTTTTTCCAGTTAGATTTTCATGAATAAACTACCCTGGCATCCAGAACTCATTAATATTTTTAAGAGTAGCCTCACCATTTTGCCTCGAGCCCTAAGAATTAAAGACTCCAGCTAGGGCGGTTTTAAATAAAACAAAGGGTGGAGACTACATGTTAGAATACCAATGCTGTAATTTTCTCGTGTCAAACCCTAGGGGAAAAAAAATTGACATGTCAGGGTCCAGACCCACCGTGTGCCAAATGCTTGCCAGACAAATGAGCAAGAAACAAATGAGCAAACTGAGGAAGACCATGTATGTGAAATGAGTGAGTCCATGTAGGATAACCCCACTCCCTGTTTGTTATTTCTTTTTTTGTTTTGTTTTTTTGAGTCAGGGGTTCTCTGTAGTGTTGGAACCTGTTCTGGAACTCACTCTGTAGACCAAGCTGGATTTGAACTCACAAAGATCTGTCTACCTCTGCCTCCCAAGTGCTGGGATTAAAGGCATGCACTGCCTAGCAAATTATCTATCTATCTATCTATCTATCTATCTATCTATCTATCTATCTATCTATCTATCTATCTATTTCAAGACAGGGTTTCTCTGTAGCTTTGCAGCCTGTCCTGGTCTGCCTGTCTCTGCCTCTCCAGTGCTGGGACTAAAGGCATGTGCCACCACCACCCCTGTTTGCTATTTCTTATGTGTTTAGCTATTTGCTAGGATGGCGATTCTCAATTATTATTCCTCAGAGTACAAAATGTGTATGGGAAGGAATTTGGGACAAACTGTGGTCACTTAGGATTACGGAATATTACCCTTGATATAACATCAATGAAGCATTTAAAGATGTGATATAGTTAGGAAGCTGTGATTTTTATAAAACACGGAATGCAGGAGCCATGCTATTCTTCTCTGTACTGTTTCAATGTTAGTGTATGGTGTGTGCTGCTGAAGAAAACATAAGCTGTGATTCCTATGTCTAACTAAGGATAATGGGCAATCTGGCCACAATTACACAATTAGGTGCCAATTAAACAATAAGATTTAGAATCGGCATTGGGTGTTTTGCCCCAAAGAAATTATGGGAGGCAATTCAGGCATGCTGTGATGCATGCTTTCAAATAAATTAAATTAAAATTATAAAAATCACAGTAGTTTGGAGGCCAAATTAGGTAGGCTCTGTGAGTTCGAGGCCAGCGTGGTCTACATAGTGAGTTCCAAGCTACTCAAGGCAGTGTAGTGAGACTGTGTTCAAGAAAAATATTGACTTTCATATGTTAAAGAATCCTTCCATGCCCAGGGAATTGGAGTCTGGGATTTATCAAAAAATGAACAGAGTTTCCAGCTGAAAACAAAGCCATAACAGTCTCAAGCAAAAGTTCAAGGGTGGAAAGGTGGGAATTTGAAGAGCAGTACTTTAAAATATGTAACAGCAAGAAATAGACAATTTCAACAAAGCAAGAAAGTGTGAAACACTGTGATGCATCATTGGAAACTCAGTAAGTGGCATGTGGCCCTTGGACACTGACTGTCACATGTAGTTTATTAGCTACAAAGACAGAATTCAAGTTTTCAAAATAGTAGGTCAGTAATACACTAGCACTGATGTCATTGCGTTTTTAACAGAGAAAAATAAAAATTAAAAGCTAAGTATGTAAAATACAGACCTAAAAACCGTAAATACTACCATATAAGAATGGCCACAAGGGGGCGCCAAACTATTTCAATAGACCTTTATGATGACAGGGGACAGAGCAATACGGCGGCTCGTTGGTCTAGGGGTATGATTCTCGCTTAGGGTGCGAGAGGTCCCGGGTTCAAATCCCGGACGAGCCCTATTTTGTGACCTTGAACTACTTTTGGTGAAAACTGAATAAACGCACAAAATATATCGGAAACTCAAAATTGTTCTTTCAAAAGCAAACAAAACAATAAATAGCACACTTTACATTCAAGCTCCAATAAAAGGAATAACTTGGTAGCGTAAATGTTTTCTAGCCGTGTCCTTCCCGGTCTGTTCAGATCGCTTCGCCTGCGCAGGGACCGGGGCCGGGTTTAAACCACTGTGCCTGGGCTGCTCTGTCGTAAAGAGAGGCTGGGGGGTTCCCGGGGGCTGGGCCCCCGCCCTCCCAATCCCCCCCGCCCCCCCCCCCCCTGCCAATCCCCGACGCCCCTGCCACGTGTGGGAGCGTCGGGATCGCCGGGGTTTCTGCACCGAGCGTGAGCTTCAGTGCCCTGCCCCGCTGACCCGCACTGAGGTCAGCTGGTCCTTAGCTTCGCAAAGGGGGTCGAAGGACAGCCGAGCCTCGAGGACCCGAATAGTTTCACTTGGGTCTTTGGGTGAGACGTGTAACGAAAACGAAACCGATTTTAATCCCCGATCTGTAGATGGAGGGGGGGAATAAAAAGTAAAACCAGGGCTCGTCCGGGATTTGAACCCGGGACCTCTCGCACCCGAAGCGAGAATCATACCCCTAGACCAACGAGCCGACATGCGGCCGTGTTCGCGGACGCCCATAGAGGTCGTACGACATTTGCTGCCGTCTGAGTGACACCATGCTTTGGGGGATGGAGGCTCGGGGACGTGCCCACTGCAAAGCTTTCGGCGCAGCGTCTACGGATCTGCGGCCGGGTGCTGGCCGCATGCTCAGACTCCCCACTGGGAGGTGTGGGCTCGCTGTCCCCGCGCCTCTGTGCTAGACCGCTCCGCAGTTAGAAAGGGCGGGTTCCAAACCCTGAGCTCTCCGCCCTTCCTCGCACTGCCCGGAGTCCTCCGGCCCAGACTGGAGCTTTGACGTTAATCCGTGGAACGGCTTGGTTTGGACCTTGGGTGGAAGGCAGCTTTTCTCGCCGTCTCTACGTTGGCCTTACTGAGGTGACCTGGGACAGACTGCAGTAGCCCACCGCCTGTCAACGCCAGCCAGAGTCAGGGAGACACCAAAAGACCTCCCAAGAAGGTGTCGCCAGCACTGGGCCCTGGGTTCCCAGCTTCTAGGGTCAGAGTCCTTCTTGCCCTCCTGTTTAGCTTTCTCGTTATCTCTCAGTGTAACTGGGTGTGTGCTGCTGAAACATGGACAGAAACCAGGCACTTCAAAATCAGGCACTTCAACGTTTATCTTTGTCCTTGTGGCCAGCCTCGCCCGCCTCTGAGATTCATGGTGTTGGTGGTTTTCTCCTTGTCATTTGGTCCCCCTTCTCTGTGTGTGTGTGTGGGTGGGTGGGGGGTTGTTCTCATACACCGAGGCCATTTAATTATGCATTCCTTTTAGCTTCCTACAAAACGAAGAACAAATGTACTCTTACACACTTGTGAAGTGCTCTTATCACTAAACTTTGATGAAAATGTCTCATCTTGTAACAGGATGAGCTTTTGAGCTTTGGTTTCACACAGAAGTACACAGTTCTCGGGTTTAACTTTGAGCTGCCACTTTGCTGACTGCTGTTGGGATAGAGCAAGAAGTCTTGGCTCTTTGGCGTGTCTACACCAGGAGCTATCCTGCAGGAGAATTTCTTCATCAGAATTCCTTCATCCATATCCTGTCAGTTACTAAGACATTATTTTTCCAAAGCACGTCTAGAACTTTCTTCCTGCGCCCACCGTGTGTGTGTGTGTGTGTGTGTGTGTGTGTGTGTGTGTGTGTGTGTGTGTGTGTGTGTT